CACACACACACACACACAAAAAGTAAGGAAGGGCCGGGGTCCTCAGCGACCGAATTGAATGGTTTGTCGTAGGTCAAAGTGTTTCATGTCAGTGGGGTATCTTTTTTTCTTTGTTGCTTCTGGTTGTGTGTTGGTGCGCGCGTTTTTTTTTATGCTCGTTTGTGTTGCGCTTAGCTTGGACTTTGCGTGAATGTTCATGTATCTTTTGCTGAGGTTGCGGTGAATGCTTTGGAAGGAAGAAAAACGGAAGGAAAAGCATGTGAAGGTGCGTGTCCGCAATTAAGTTGGAAATCTGCTTTGATTGTGTTTGCAGTGTAGTGTGAAACAATAGGCAAGAAGGAAGAAAGAAGGAACATGTGGATGTCTTTTTCTCCTTCATCAGGTATATTGAGGGTTTTTTTTTTGTGTGGCGACACATTCGAGGTGCACGTCATACGAGCAATGTGGGAGTGGCCTGCGCTCACCCCCCCCCCCCTCGTCCTCATTCTCTTCATTTTGTTTTTCTGTGGAGCAGCCTATTTCATTATTCTTCAGGAAACATTTCAGTTTTGTATCTTTTCCACACGCCGCATTTGTTGTTTTGTTTGTTGTTGTTTTTTTTTATCCGTGTTGTGTGTGCCCCTTGCATATTACGAAATTATTGTTGTTTTGTAGTGGCTTTAGCAGGGCCGTTGCGCGGCGCAGGTGCTCAGTGGGGCTGGACTGCCTTGGTGTCTGGAAGCATCTCTTTCGGGCCTTCAAGAGCGCTGGCAGGCTCCGTTTTCATGGCAGGGAAGAGCAGCACCTCCTTAATGTTTGCCTTGCTGGTGAGGAACATGACGAGGCGGTCAATGCCCATCCCCCAGCCGCCAGTGGGGGGCAGCGCGTGCTCGAGGGCGTGAATGTACCCCTCGTCGATGTCCATGGCCTCCTCGTCGCCCTTCTCCTTGTTCTGCGTCTGCTTGATGAACTCCTCCCGCTGCACGATGGGGTTATTAAGCTCGGTGTACGCGTTGCAGATTTCCTTCTTGTTCACAAAGAGCTCGAAGCGCTCCGTCAGCTGGGGGTGCTTGCGGTGCCACTTGGCGAGAGGTGACATCACACGGGGGTGGTCGCAGACAAACGTCGGGTCGTGGCACTCCGGCTCCAAGTAGTGGGCAATCAACGCGTCCAGCAGGCGTGCCGTGGTGAAGGGGGGGTTGCACTCCACCTTCTGCTGCTTGCATAGCTGCAGAAGGAAGGTGTTGGCTTCGGGGCTCTCAAAGTCGGTGGGAAGCTTTACATTTATGCGCTTCTCCAGCTCAGGAACGATGTAGAGACGCTTAAAGGGCTTGTTGAAGTTGAATACTACCTCCGGCAGCTGCTTGCCCTCCGAGTCCTTCGGGGCGTACTTCACGAGCGGACTTCCGTAGAGGTGCATGGCAAGGCCGTAGAGGAGGTTCTCCGTGACGCGCATCCAGTCCTCGTAGTCCACGTAGGCCCAGTACGCCTCGACGCTGGTGAACTCGGGGTTGTGTGTGAGGTCGATGCCCTCGTTGCGGAACTGCTTGCCGATCTCGTACACGCGGTCCAGGCCGCCCACGATGAGCTCCTTCAGGTACAACTCAGGTGCAATGCGCAGGTACATCTTCTGGTTTAGGTCGTTGTGGTGGGTAATGAACGGGCGTGCAGCGGCGCCACCGGCGATTTTGTCCAGCACGGGCGTCTCCACCTCGAGGAAGTCCATTTCGTCGAAGAACCTTCGAATGTAGCTGATGATCTTCGCACGCGTGACAAACGTATTGGTGTTCTCGCGGTTCACGATCAGGTCCAGGTAGCGCTGGCGAAAGCGCTGCTCCACCGAGCTGAGCCCGTACCAGTCGTCCGGCAGCATGTGGAAGCAGGTCGAGAGCAGCGTGATCTCCGTTGCGTTCATAGAAAACTCTCCCGACTTCGACAGCGATGCCACGCCCTTGACGCCGATGATGTCGCCACGCTTGATCCTGCCATGGACCTCAGCAAACGTGCCGTCGGCGTAGTCGCTGAGGGCGGAAATCACCTGTACAACGTCCGCGTCCCCCTGCAGCGTCAGGAAGTGCAGCTTCGAGCCTGAACTCCGCTTGTTCATGATGCGGCCGGCAATCGTCACGACCTCCGCCGCTCGCTGGCCATTCTCGGTGAGCTGCGGTGCGAAGCGCGCCTTGAAGGCGGGGATCGTGTACTGGCGGTCAAACTTGTGCGGGTACGCCGCGCCGAGGAGCCCCAGCTCCTTCACCATCGCCAGCCGCGTATCGAAGTAGCTAAGCTCTGGCGCCCGCTCCGTCATCATCTTCTTCACGGAAAGTTGCTTGCGCAGCTCTACCATTCTGGCGACGAGGGTCTTGCACTCCTCGCTGGTGGCCCCCTTCTCCTTCTTCACCCGCGCAATCTCCGCAGCGAGAGCGTCGACCTGCGCACGCGTCGAACTCGCGTCCGACATCTTGCACTCCTTGCTTGCTTGCTGTGTTTTCACGCACCCACCCCTGGCGGCGGAAGCGGCAGACACGCAAAGGAAAAAGAGAAAGGCATGCACCGGCAAATGGGGGCAGGATGAAAGGGCAGGATGAAAGGGCGCGGAGGGCAGCGCGGACGCCACAGCAACTGCCACAAGCAAACATGCGGGACGACGACGACGAGGCAAGCCAAAAAAAAAGAAAAAAAAAACTTTGGCTGGCCATCATCGGCTGTGATGGTTAACGGGCGCAGCGACCTTAGCAGGATGCGTTCCGTCTTCCTCAAGTCTACCGTTGGCACAAACTCGTTCGGCTGATGCACGCTGAAGCCGGACGCACCTCATATGACGGTGTTGACACCATACAATACATGCTGTAGGTGGGAACCTCCGTGCAGAATGTCCTAAGCACCCCTCTCGTGCGTCTCCTCGCTGGTGGCTTTTAGTGCCTCGTACACATGCGAATTGTCCCGCCCACTAAAGGCCTCCTGCGCATTCGTGCAACGCATCTCCACACCACAGCTATCCTCTTACCTCATCTTTGCTGTTGTCGCAGCAACAAAGCCCGCGACGCGCTTTGGGATCCCATCCCCCAGAGTGATTGGGAACGTAACAAGGTTCAAACGTGACGCGGTAGTCCGCCGGCACCGTATTCACCGAGATACCGTTACGAATGGTAGAGAAGCAGAGGGTGGTGTACGGGGTATAGTGATGTTTGTTGAAGAGGCCTTTTTCACAAAACCCCCGTCCAATATCGCACAGAAACCGCACAATGCTGGTGCCATGTTCAATGGTGTTGCAGGCGTACGGCAACAGGGGCGAGCGCATCGCCTTGCCACGCACGTAAATTTCGTTTGTCTTAATGCCCTTGTGCCCCATTACAAAGTCAACGTCCGTGGGCTCCCCAATGATGCAGCCGCCCGCCTTGATGTTGTGGTCCCGCAGGAATTGTGCCAGAATCTTCCCACTGAGGCAGCTCACATCCTCGTCGTACGTCAATGCGTCGTCGATCAGCTTCGCACGCTCCATCTTCAGCAGCTCGGGAGTCAGCGACATGCAAACGGCGATGACGCCCTTCATGTCGGACGTGCCGCACCCGTACAACTTCCCGTCCCTCTCCGTCAGCGTCAACGGGTCGCTGCCCCACTTCTGCCCGTCCACTGACACCACGTCGCTGTGGCCAGAGAAAATGATGCCGCCGTCCGTCACGCCGCCCCCGCCCACAGGTTCGTCTTCGTCTTGTCGGGGTTGTGGACCAGCGTGCACTTGACACCGAGCCCCTCCTCCAGGTAGTCCTTGCAGTAGTGGATGCGCTCAAGATTCGAGTTGCGGCTCGTGGTGTACAAAAGACACACGCTTTTCCAGCCACTCAACGGAGTTCATTGGCATTTTATGTTGATCCCTGTTTTCGTTGTCTTCCCTGCCGCAGTGACAGCAGCAGCAACCCTCCGTGTCCTTACGTCTAATTTGGTTGCAAGGAAGGCAGTCTCTTTCACGTGGATGTGTGCTTGTATTTGCAGAGTCCAGGGCACCCCTTCTCCCAAAGACACAGGGCAGGCAACAAGAAACAAAACAAAGACGAGAAGGAAAACAAAACGAAAAAGTTCAAGGATTGGAGAGAACCGCAGCGATGGTGAGGCGCAGGCGGAGATATATATATATATATATATCTCCATACACACGCCAGTGGTGACGGAAGGGAGCGAAGTAGACAGCCAGGCGTCATCGTCCCTGCGGCGATGTGAAACCACAAAGTCAATGACGTGATTCACGGAGCAGCAATAAAAGTCGGGGAGGAGGAGGAGGGGGGTAGCAGCCGCAGCAGCCGCGGCAGCAGTATTATTATTGGTAGTAGTACTAGTTAGTGGTACCGACTGCAAATTAGCGACACCCGTCACTACCGTTTTTTTCTCGTTTTTCTTCACCCGTTGACTGCGTGTGTGTGCGTGTTGTTTGTTTTTTTATTATATATATATATATTTTTTGTTATTTTTTTTTGTTTTGTTTTGTTTTGTTTTGCATCTTCTTCTTCTTGACTTTTATCATTTTGGATTTGTTCGCTCAACTACAATCCGCACACACCTCACCGCTCAGAGTTATGTATATAACTGTATGTATATGCACGGGCACAGTCCATCCATCCATCCATATATGTTATATACATGTAGCCGCAAGTTATGGATGCGTGCATGTACGCTGCCCCTGAAATTGGCATGCACCACGCTTGCGGGCACACATGCATGTCACTGCCGTGGCTGCGTGCGGGGTGCTGATTTCGTCGCGGCGGCACCGTGAGTGAAGGGGAAAAAAGCAAAGACAAGACAACAACCAAAAAGAAAAAACAACAACAAAAAAAAAAGAAGTATCAAGACAAAAACAAAAAAAAGTACCTACGAAAAACTCACTCACGCACGCACACATACACACGCACACACACACACACACACACCGAGAGATATATTGATGAAAGGGAGTTGAAGGTTGCGCCGGCCCAAGCAGAAGACCGAAAGTAACTCGTAAAACCTTCAAAAGTAAAATAAAAAAAAAAGCAAAAAACAATAATTCTTTTTTGTTGTCGGTTTAAACAACATAAAAAAAAAAAGAGGTAGTGGGCGGTGGTGGCAGCGAAGTCCACCGCCAACGTCCACGCAGCGGCTAGCAGGAGCAAAAGCAACAAAATGAAGGGGGAGACGCCCTGGACACGCACCGCACGTGCCGCAAGCAAACTCTCTCTCTCTTGTGCGAGCCCACACACATGCAGCTTTGCGTACCTGCGCTCTCGGCATGCCCGTGCGTGTGTGACGGCACCTCATGCACCGATGCATGTTGGTCCCGGCAGAAACCAGCGGTCTCCAGCCTGGCAGGGATGTTTGCGCCTTATTCCGTGTACACCACCCGCGTCCGCGTTTTCTCGCGCACCGCCCCAACACCTGACTCCTGCCAAGTTCACCCCCACGTTGCGCTTCCCCTCCCCCTCCCCCTCCCGCCGTCTCGCATCACTCTGCATGTGTGCGTGTGTGTGTGTGTGTGTGTGTATGTTGTTGTTGTTGTTGTTTGTGTTTTCCCGCTGCTACTCGTATGCATGCACGTCCATGCATACGGGGGATGGGGGAAGTCGTCTGCCGCGCGCTTGCGCAACTCCCCTCATCCTACTCTTCAATTTTTTTCCACATGCCACCTTACATCGTCTCACGTCCCCGCACCTCTCCCGCGTAGCGTCGCGGATCGTTGTGTTTTATTCCTTTTTGTTTTTTTTTTGGTTTATTTCCGTGTTTCTTGTTTTTTATTATTTTTCTTGAGGCGTTTGAGCCGCCTCCGCCCGCGCAGTGCACACCAAAACAGCGCGTGTACACATAAGCGCCGCGCCTGCCATCTTTGCGCCTCTCCCTCTCTCTGCATGCCCCTTGGCCCCTCAGCCGGCGGCGTTACAGCATGGCGAATCCCCTGCTGCCTAAGGTGATGGCCAAGATCAACTTCCGTCGCAGTTCCTCGCAGCTGGGGTACTCCGGCAGGTCAATTTTGTTGAAGCAGGTATGCGCCTGCGGGAGCAGATCGACGCTGTCACCCCACCGCGTGATGGTGAAGCGCTGCGTTGTCCCGCTCGCCGACTCTAAGTTGCTGAACCCCCCGTGCGGCACCTTCGACGCGCCGGTGGCAAACTGCAGCAGATTTGCGCGATCCTCCTTTGTCATAGACGCGACCACCTCCCAGAACCACCGGATCTGCGGCGAGGTGGCGGTGTAGCCATCGTAGAGCGTATGCACCCGCAGGTCCTCCACGTCAATGTCGGGCATGCCGCAAATGACGAGCTCGAGCTCTTGCGCCGTAAAGTTGCGAATATCCTTCCGCGGAATGACGGTGTAGAAGCCTTTTAGAAACTCCTCCATTTGCTGCTCAATTTGCCGCGTCATGTGAAATTCGCAACGCAGCCGCACGTACTGAGACTTGTTCGCGTTGGTCACGGCTACCTGCCCCCCGTTTGGCATCAACTCGGTCTCCTGAATGACGCCAAAGCGCTCACAGCTGACGGTGAAAAAGAGCCCCAGGTCGTTGACGTCGTTGCGCAGGAGCCAGTTGAGGTTGTCGTACAACTCCGGGTCGACGCTCTCAAGGTCGCGGAAGATGGGTTGCACCCCAGTCATGTGGCGGTACACCGCCCGCGTGAAGTGCACGTCGATGGGAACGCCATGAGCGACCGCCATGCCCACCACGGTGCCCGCAAACTTGAAGTAGTGCAGATGGTTCGGGTTGACATCGGAGAAGGGGTTCGGTCGGTACGTCATGCCCTCGCGGGAGTGAATGAAAAGCGCGTAGTTGTCGTTCACCATCTCCTCCGCCAAAAGCTGAAACCACTCCCGCGTCAACCCGCCCGCGTCGGCCCCCTCCTCGCCGCGGAAGCGCACATTTAAAGCGCCGTGAAAGCTTTTCAACTTGGAGAGTTGGGCGAAGCTGTCGCGCAGGCACTGATCGCGGCTGATGCTCAGGCTAATGCGGGACCCGTGCGTGGCATAGCTAATGTGCCGCTGGAAGTCAAGCAGCCGAATATTAAAGTCAATAAATCCAGGCTCCGCCTTCAGGAAGGCAAAGCTCTCCTCCAGCAGCTTAGGGTCGTACTGGATGAGAGTGTTGATGGTCATCTTATTGCGCTCCACAAACTGACGCACCAGACGGGGCAACGCTGGGCGCTCGTCCCGCGTCGGGTCGCCCACTTCGCTGCTCCCACCCTCCAAGGTGGGTCGCCGCTGCAGATGTGAACGTCCCGTCTGCCGTGATTGCTGCTGCTGCTGCTGCTGCTGCTGCTGCGGTGTCGACTCGGCGCGTGCGAGGGCGTTCACGGCGGCCTCAGAAACGCTGGAAGGCGTGTGTGTAGTGTCCAGCATGAACCGCTCCGTCTCCGTCTTCTCCACCGCGATGCCGCTGTGGCTCTCCAGCCCCACACTCACGGAGCACGAGCCTCGCCGCGCCTCCCTCATGTGGAACTGACAGAACGCATTCAGTAGAAAAAGAACCGCGTGCGGCAGGAGCACCGAGAAACTATTTTTTAGCCGATGCAAGATAGACGCCACCTCCGCAAGATACATCTGTGAGGCGTGCCACATCAACGATACCTCGCGCAGCTCCGGTCGATGCACCTCGGCATACGGCAAGAAAAACATGTGTAAGTGACTCGCCGTGCTGCTCAAGTTCAGGTGGGAGAGCGCCAAGCTCGCCTCATGCGCGGTCCATTCTATACCCGCCGCCTCGCTGCCACTGATGGAGCCGCTACTGGAGGACACCACTGCGCCAGGGCCCATGGTCACCTTGCTCGGGAAAGCACTGCGGAACGCATTGACCCGCGCATGTATCTCCGCTGTAAGGTCCTTTGCAAGTCCGACAACAATGCGCTCCACCACCGCAATGGGGCTGTCGCTGTTGCCAAACATTGTGTCGCGTCGTGCGCTTTCCATGATGCCCCGCCGAAGCAGCTGCACCGTCTGCAGCCCCATCTCTTTCGTACAATTTGGATTGGCAAGAAGTCGCGAGGCCGCCTGCAGGGTTCCGTTTGACGTCACAAACGCGTAAGCACACCAACGCACGCGCTGCGCCTGTTCCTCCGCTGTCAGTGTTACGAGACTGCACTGCGGGCAAAGAACATAGTGACAGGCTGAGCAGCAGAACGCAAAGATGTCGTGTAGAAGCTTTGTGGCACAGCCGTTGCAGACAAAGTAGCCTTCTGGGCACGGATACTGGCACAGATTTGTCCACTGCAGCACATGGGTGTGGCGTGGGTGCAGAATGCGCCTGTTGGACAATGGCGTGGGAGACGGCGCTCTCGGAAGTTGCGACTTTACTTTGTCCTCCTCAAGCACCCGCAGCTGCTCGTTAAGCGCTGAGACTATATGAGTGAAGGACAACTCCGCACGCGGCGACGGAAATCGCAGGATGACCTCCACAAGCCGTCGGAAGAGCCCCGCATCCATCGCCCGTCGTTCCACCTCATTGTACGGCTCATCCACGGGCTTCAATGGCCCACCCTCCTCCACACCGTCAGGGAGCATCGTGAAACTCAGCCCGGCCGCGCGGCACCGTTCAATCAACTTTTCAATGATAAACGTCACCTGAACCGCGATGCAGCCACAGTCGCGCCTAAACTGCTCCTCCGGTGCTGCATCGGCAAAGGCGCTCCTCGACGGCCCTTCCAGTGCCACATCAAGCAGCTTCACCAACGCCTCCCTCGCGATTGCCGTGTTCACGCATACAGTTATTAGCAGCGCCACTAGTTGGGAACTTACAGAGAGAGTCGATGAACCGCAGCCGTACTCCAGCGACGGGAAGCCGCCCTTCGCAAAACAAACCAGATCCATAAGCTGCCGAAGCACCGCAATAGGAACGGGGGGAGCGGGGGCATGCACTCCTGTTTCACCGCTTTGACGATCCGGGGGCAGTGGCATCTTTTCCTCGCGTGTGTGACGGCTTTGCATAGCCCGAATGCGGCAGTTGAGGGCGGTCTCCGTCACGCGGTTGTGGCCCCGCGGCGGGCGTCCTGGTCGGCGAGCCCCATTGCCGCCATTTTCCGCGCCGCTGTTGTTGCTGTTGCCGCCGCCACCCGTGGTGGTTGGTGCCTCCAAGCGGCCCCGGAGAGAGATGCGGCCGCCTCCTTCCTCAAGCAGATGGCGTTGCAAAACCCATGGGAAACGCGGGTCCTCCGGCGGAACCCGAAAAATCGCGCTGTACCTCGCTGCCTCGGCCGTCCCGTCATTGCCCGATCTGTCTGCCTCTTCCCGTCCCTCCCGCAGGCGCCCGCCATCTTCGTTGGCAACACCCTCGGCCTCCATGCTCTGAAGCTCACGAAGCACAGTGGCCTCTGCAAGTAAAGCGGGATTCCCCTCAAGATATTGCAAGTCGCACGTTAGCAAAATGTCGCGTCGCACTTCTGCGTCGACGGTTGCAAGAACCTCGGTAAGAAACGTCGGCTCCTCGCCGCCCTGCGCACCTCCACTGCCTGAGTCGTCGCCGGTAACACGCCGCCAGCGATGCTCCACTTCAATGGCTTCCATCTGCACATCTTGTGGTAACTGGTCCATAAATGCGACATAGATGCGTGTGCGTTGACCCCTCACTTCCCGCTCTTGCCCGCACAAAAGAAGATTCATGTGGTCAAAGAGTAGCTCACGGCGAAGTGACTCTGGCAGTTCCAGAAGGAAATGAGGCTCGATTGCTCCGAACCACGGCTGCTGCTCCATTGGTGGCTCTGCAGCAACGGTTTCTGTGGGTGCCGCATTGTCAACCGTACTGTGAGAGTCGGCTGCGGCAGCAATAAAAGAAGAAGCCTGTGACTCCTCCAAAACGCCAGGATGAGTGTCTATATAGGAGACAATTTGTGGTGGCACCGCCGTTGTCTCAGTACTCGTGGCGGGATCAGTGTTGCCAAAGAGCGCACAGATGCGTGCGTTGGCGCCCTCCACCCTGCTGCTATGATCTCCACTAGCGTTGGTGGCCGGGCCTGCGGTGCTGCGAACGGCTGATGCTCCCTCCACCGCCCGCTCAGTGGCTCCGTCCGGGCTCTGCGTCGTCTGGCCGTCTTGTGCATCCGACACAGGCGACGGCGGTGGCAGAGTCACACGCGGTGGTTGCACCTCCTGCGCGTGCAGCACCGGCGGCAGCGGCTTAAGCATCAGCATTTTATCCCACAACAGGTCCACCGTGTCGTTGATCGCCTCGCAGAGGGTCACAATTCGTGGAATAATACTCTGACGGTCACCGCCGCTGGTGGTGTTGTAGTTCAGCTCAACTATATCCCGCCTGTTACGGGAAAAGAGATCAAAAATGCTCGAGGGGACTTGACTGGAGAGCAGCGTCCAATCTTCGTCGTCAATGGAAAACCGGCTGATCCCGGAGTCGTACTGGTCTTGCGCCCATCCGGTGAGCCCACGCACCTGCGCCGTCGTCAAGGCGACGTCCCCAAACTCGTCTGCAGGGCCCACTGAAAACCCCACCATCATCTCGCTGGGCGTCATACGCCGGAAGGGCGAGGGATCAACCACATAGGATAGCTCCTCCACGTCTTCTTCCTCCTCTTCTTCCTCGCCCTCTCCCTCTCCCTCGTCCTCGTCCTCATCCTCGTCTTCGTCCTCCTCCTCCTCCTCGTTGCCGCCGCCGTCTTCGTCTTCGTCGTCGTCGTCGTCTTCGTCGTCGTCGTCGTCCGGTTCAACAAGGGCCGCGAGATTCCGCAGGCCCACCCGGACTGAGATGGGTGTAGAGGCGTGTCCGGAGCTGTCGACCGCCTCTCCGACGATGTTCAGGTTCTCCTCCTCGTTGTCCTCGTCCTCAGTGACTTCGTTTTCATCATCTTGTCCGTGCTCACCTTCGCTCTCCGAGGAGCCATGTGTGTGGTAGAGCAGCGTGGCGTCAGTGGGGCGCAGCATTTCACCAATGTCAAACATAACTTCCGTCAGCCCCCCCTCACGACGCGTTTGTATCCGCCTGCTTTCTCGGAGGCCGTTCAACTCCCCGCCCCCGCTGCGCTCATTGTGGCCGCCGACAAGGTCGTCTAGGAAGAAGGCGTCGTCTATGGTGCCGGAGGGTTGCGTGTGCGGGGTCCGCGAGACATCACCCTCATCCAGCAGAAGCATACTGACCTCTTGCGCCGCCACCGAGTCGGCTGAAAACTGCTGCTGCGTCTGCTGCTCCTGATGCCGGAGCGAAACCACAGCGCCACTACTACTGCCACCCTCGCCCTCCATGTCGGGGCAATCATCCAATCCAGTGATTTTCTTGTCACCGCATCCGTTCCGCTTGCTATTGCTTCTGTTGCATTTGCCGTACGCCAAGAGCACACGTCGTATGACCAACAGCAGCGCCGCTGCGTCCCGCTCACTTGTGCAGCACTGCTTCTCTACCACGCGATACAACACCTCAAGGGCGTCACGCTGCCACAACTCATCGCACAACCGCCACACGAGCGAACTCCATGGGGCGCCCAGCAGTACTCGTAGAACGTGCAAAATACCACACAACATATCAACCGGCGAGGGATTCCACGGCCGCATCTTTCCTCGTTCAGCCCCTTCCTTCGTGTTGCGGGTCCTGTGTGACGGTGTAGCTGCCAACAAAACTTCCATCGCGTGCAGAAGCAATTGAATCAGGCGTGCAGGCGCCTTTTGCGCCACGTTAAAAAAGAACCCATCAAGCAACTCTAGCTGCGATTTATCAATGAACAAAATTACCGCCAAAAATGGTGTAAGGTAAAGCGGAGCCTCCCGTGGAATGGAACCGTCACTGCACAGGTAGTGCAGTCGGGCCTGTTCATCTTCGATCGTCTTACACTCCGCAAAAACGCCTCGCATACTCTCCGGAATCTGCACATTGACGTTGTACGAGGTGACGATGGAGGCGACAGAGGGAAGCACCGTAATGTGGTTCAGCACGCCAGTGACAAGCGGCGGCAGGGACGAGTTCCCCAGACGTTGTATCAGCATATCAAAGACGTTTTCCACGGCTAGGCGCTGGGGCGTGCGTGACCCGCCCATCACACTCTGGCGTGGAGGCTTGCGCGGCGCCAGCCAGACGGTGGTCTTGACGTCCTCTTGCTCAACACCGCGTCTGCCAACGTGCAGAATAAAGACCACACAAAAGGCGTTAAACACAGTATAGAACGCCTTTGGATGCTTGCCAATGACAGAGCGAAGGGCGACAAGAAAGTCATTCAACAAAACTGCATGCCGGTGCACCTCCGCAACTCCACGGGCATGGTGTGTCCTGCACGCAACGACGTAAGGGGCGTGTCGTGCGCACAACTCCTGCACGTCCTTCTCCTGCAGGACGTAGGAACCGCCCAGACGTATCTCGTTTTGAATGGCGCTCACCATGGCGGAGTACACCACCCCCTCTGTGTGCTCCGTTTGTTCAAGAAGCGCTCTCATGACCTGCACGCGTGGGCCCGATCCGGACATGTCGTTGCGCAGCAGGCGAGAAATGGCGCGTAGCACGAAGCCCTTCCTCACCGTCTCATTCAGCCGGTAGAGATGTGTCACAAGGGAGGCGTCGGCCGAGCCCAGCACCTTCGCAAGAAAATCCACCGCAACGTACGTGACTGGAGTCTCTAGCACCATCAACTCACGTGGTTTCTTCTTCTTCGGCCGACGTCCGCTGGTGTGACTACCCTCCCCATCCTCATCCTGCCCCTGCTCATCCGCTTCGACGTCCTCTTCTGCCAGGTACTCCAACAAAAGCTCGGCACACTTCTGCAGGAGATCATCTGGCAACATCGAGGTGCTCTCCAGCACATCGGACAGCTGGAGCTCCACCTTTGCCGCACTTCCAACAAAATGACCCGTTGCCGTGCCACTACCAGCAGGTGTCGTAGACGCCGGGGCGGCGGCAATGGGTTGACCCGTAGACTCCCCACTTGTGTTCTCCTCATTCGCCACGTCGGTGCTCCCCACCTGCGTCGTCATCGTTGGACAGCCGCCGCCGCCGCCGCTGCCGCCACTGTTACCCTCCTCGGGACGTGAGTTGTTGCCGGACTCCTTCGGTGTCGCCTCATTCTCCTCCGCCTCCTCACAGAGGTCTCCGTAGCCGAAGCCCCTGAGGAGCGCGGTGACGGTGGTCACCAGGCTCGATGACATGTTCGTGCTAGACGGGTGACGCAACGGGGCCCGGCTCTGTGGATGCAGGTGGCGACAGAGGTGACCCATCCAACAAAAGTTGGACGGGCTGCTGCGGTAGTACGCACACACTCGCGCTTTCTTCTCGCCCTGTATGTTTACCGACGAGGCAGAAAGGAAGCAAAATAGTTGCCCCAGCATTGCCTTGCGACGCTGCCGCTGCCACTGGACCGCATCCGACGACAACGACGACGACGACGACGCCTCGGACAGTCGCCGAACCTCCGCCGTGACGCAGTCAAAAACGGCGCGGGGAAGCTGCGTCTTTTTGAAGAGTGCGGTGAGGTATTTCTCCGTTTCCTCCTGCGAGAGGAGCACAGCCAGCAACTCCAGCAGCGTGTAGTTCCGCCCCGGATCCTCCAGGACGCGGCAGATGATGCGTTGCAGAGCGGCAGGCCTCTCGCTGGCAAATTGCATCGTGGCTCTACTGCTCCCCTCCTTTGCTCGCGTGAAGGTGGTGTAGGTCCAGCACACCTTGCAGCACAACCGCCGCATTTGCGTTTGCTCGTCCTCCGTTACCCCATCGGCAAAGCGCAGCGTCGACGCAACATCAAGCACCCACTCCCGCGCAGCATCCGCCAGCGAATTTTGCGACGACGCGCGCTGCTGCGGGTGCCTTCTGTCAGCAAAAGAGAAATCGGCGGCCATCATCGACACATCCCTCGCATAATCCTCAGCCAACAATGGGGAGGATGTGGGCGCCGCGTGGTCGCCACCGCCGCCGGCATCTTTTCCCTCCTGCGCTGAGAGATCAGACCAGAACGACGCCAGCTGCACCATCTCCTCATTATCACCCTCGGAAATGGTTGCAAACGCCGCCGCCAGCGACCGGTCGGCATTGCCGCCAAAAATTTCCGTGCCAAAGTCCAACAGCCGCGGCAGGATCCCAAGCGTCATCGCCGGGGTAAAGCTGAGTCCGTGTTCTCTCCAGATGACAAGCACAAAGTACAGGAGTGGCTGCACCCAGGGGCGACGGGCCGAACTCCACTCCGAAACCACCTTCAGGAGTCGCTCAATAATGTGTGTCAAAGAGTTTATCACAGTAGAGAGCTTCTCCGCAGCCTCAGTTTTCACACCCTCTCCAGAAAAAGCCGGCGTAGTCACGGCACCGCTGTCGGTGGCGGTACCTACTGCAGCGGCCGTCGGTGACGACGCGGACGTGGGTGTTGCTTTCCTAGGCGGCAAAACGCCCTCCATAATGAACTGCAGATGTAAGAGAACGCCCGTCAAGAGCACCGCAAAGCTGATGTCCGGGTTACTGCCATTCCGCCAAATAATGGAAGTCGGTCCCTCGGCGAACCGCAGCCGCATCTCTAACTCCTTCAGTTTGAAAGCATTCAACGCCTCTAGGGCAATGGCACGGAGCGTCTTCTGCAGGCCCGTGCCACTCATACCACAATCCACGTTCTCGTTCACTGCGTCAAGACGCCACTGAACGGCGTCCCGCATTTCTTGCGTGATGGCCTTCAACGCCTTCTCCGTCCCACCTAGCAGGTGGGTTATGCTCACAGGCAGCAGACACTGCTGGTTTGGCGACAGGAGGCCGTGGTGACGGTACGCCCGGTTGGGAGAGAAGTACTGTCGGCGACGATCAGGGGGCGGCGCAAGCATAAGCGCAATGTTCTGACGGAAGCGGCCAACCGCACTCAACGCCTCCCGTTCCGCATCAGTAGCACCCCGTCCAATGACGGACGCGGCCGCAGCATCCGACAAAATCCTTTCCTCCTGCATCAAGTAGAGCGAATCCTCCGGAAAGCCCATCCTGGAGGACCACAACCACTCCGCGGAAATATCCATCTCTGACGTGAGGGGCAACAAGGCGGCTCCAGGTGCGCCAAAGCGTGACGCCGTCAAAACGTCCCCGTAACCCTCCGTTGTGGCAGGAATTGACTCCGGCATGGTGCGATCCCCCACGTTGATATTGGTGGGGGCGGGGGTGGCGGCCCTACCGCCCGTCATTTCCAACGCAACATACGTGTCAAAGAGTAAATTTCCCAATTCGCACCGAAGTTTTGAGATGGCCTGCGGTAGCGAGGTTTGAAACTTGCAGAAGGCCCACGACAGCAACAGCAAGGAGTTTGCCTGACCCTCGCTGAGATCGCCGCTCGGCGCCGACCCCGATGACTGGACGAGTTCCGCAAGCTCCTTGACGTGACTGAGAATCACAGAGGAGATACCATCGAGCATTGACAAGGGGATGTTGCATACAAACAAACTCAGGATGTTGTAGTTGGCAGACACGACGGCAAGACGCTGTGGTAATTGTAAGAGCGCGCGTATCGCCTGTGACAGCGCCACATTGCAGCTAGCAAAGTTCTGCACGATCATTTCACCCATCAAACTGTTGTGGTCGGGCACATGGTTGCGCTGCCGGCGGTGTTGTACGCGCTGCGTCAGCTGACGGAACTCCGCCCCGGCGAGGCACGCAAGTATATTCCATATAGAGAGTGCAATTTCCTCTGGTGGTTTTTCGCGCTGTGACGCCACCACGAGGTCCGTCAGTATCTCGGAGCAGGCAGCAAAAAAGCCATCCCGCAGTTCGGGCAACGTGCGAAGCAGCGACATGAGATCCTTGCCAACTGCCGTGGCGGCTCGAGTGCTTACACGCAGCGGCGGTACCCCCGCCGCGGTGGCGGATGATGCAGGGGCGACAGGCACAACAAGCGCCCACACTAAGCCCCGCATCAACTGTGGTTTGTAAAGCTGTGCATGTGTACTGTTATGCACAGCAAAGGCCTGCAACACGCTGCAAATGTCTAACATCGGGAGGGCTTGTTCATAGTACGCCTGCGGGTCCACTAAGACTGTGGCCTTCTCTTCACTGACGAGCAATGCAGGTGTTTTACGAGGCCTGCTAGCAGAGCCGCTTGCTTTCTTGGCCACCTGGGCACCTTTAGACCTTCCTTGTTCTCCATCGCGTGAGCCGCTTGGTGCGGAGCGCGGCGCCTCCCCATCACCTGTCCGCTGGTTGTACCGCCTGAGAAGTGTGGGATTCTCGCCAATCTCCAGAATGGTGTGCAGTACGCCCCGCTGCAGCAACGCGGGCACCACGTCGCGAACATTGTGGTGGATGCAGGCCGCAAAAAAACGGAACGCGGCCGCGAGAAGTACGGGATGACCATCGGGGTGTAGGATTTTCTTGCATATGTGCTGGCACAGCTCGTAGCCGTCCTCGTCGTTGGGAGTCAGCAGAAACACAATTGGGTTTATAGATTCGTGCGTCGAGACTGTGGCGAGCCGCTCCAGAACAAAAAAGCACCAACGCAAAACCCGTACCGCCTCATATGTCCAGCCATACACGAGAGTTCGCTCCTCTCCGCACCTTCTGCTGGCATGCTGCTGCGCGTAATCCGCGTCGTTCGGCTGTTGTTCGTCCAGGTACGTCCGCATCACCGTCACGACGGCACGGACCAGGCCGTGGTTGAGTGCTGTCGAGGTATTCGTGCTCTCCCGAGTGAGCGCCAGGCTTCGCATGAGCAGTACCGCGCAGTAGTGCGGGTGAAAGCGCAGGATATCGGTCAGTTGCGCCACCATCGCCGGAAGCATTGCAGCGTGCCCCGCGGCGTTCGGTGCCGTGAAGAGCGCAATGTGGGTGCTGTGGTATTCCGTGAGGAGTCGAAACTGCCAGTCCTCCGCGAGGCAGCGGTGGCTGCCCTCCTGGAACTTGCGATGCCGCGGAACGATGCAGCTCACGGCGTCCAGCGGATTCTGGACGTAGCGCATCGAAAGCAGGCCAGAATTTGGCGCACACCCACGCAGCGCAAAGTGCCACGCGTGCACGACGTCGGCAATCGTCCCGACGAGGGTTGCGACGCTCGGCACCGCCGCCCCCAGCTTGGTATCCTCGTTGTCAGGCATGACCTCGTCGTCAAAGTCAGCTTCCTCCAGAATGGAGGAGAAGAGTCTCTCCGTGCGCCAAATGCTGCGAAAGAAGACGCTCAAAGACCCCGCAAGCAACTCATCCCGCTCCGAGGTTGGAAGCAGCTGCATGCACAGGATCCGGCAGCGACACCACCACAGTAGCCGCTCCGCGTCTCCCGCGGCATCCGCCATATTCCGCAGCACCGTCCTGCCCATTGGCAGGGAATCACGTTGATTGGCGCCGCCCCGCGATGACCGTGAGAGAATCCTCCCGTGAAGGAGCTGCAGCGGGTCCTTCACAAAGTCAGCAAGCTGCAGCACCACGGTGTCCTCGTCCTGTTGACTACACACTTCTGTGTGTTGCCTGCTTCGCTTCCGCACCCGCAATGCAGACTTTAGAACGTCTTCAAATGTGGGTGAGGACCCCCATCCGTAGGCAATCACGCGCATCGCAGCAACGCAGTCAAGCGCCTTATCTGGCAAATGCGGCTGCGTGAAGTTGAGGAGAAGGCCGAGGTAGACAATGGATGGATCACGGCAAAGCAGCAAGCGGATGTTGCATGGCATCGCAAGGCAGCCCTCATCTCGCACCACACGGTATGGTGCCCCCATCACCGTCAGCAGCAACAACGTGGAGTGCAGGTCCCTGCATCCATTATCGCTTTTGAACGTCATAGCAGCTTCTTGCTTCCTCTCACTTTCCTGCTCCGCCTCCGCCTCCTCATTTGCAACCGGGGGTTTCTGGTCTGCAGTGGTAGTGGCAGTGGCCGTAACTCGCGCGTCGGCATCCTCGGCGAGGCCGGTATCCACACTATTGCTCTCGGCCTCTTGGGCATGGCTCAAGGTGTCTGCGGCGTGCACGCGCAGCCATTCCCAACCCACTCCCCTCAGCAGCTCCACAAACTCCCGGCTATACATGCTGTTCACATCGCGGTGGAATGCCTCGTCGTGCAGCATGGCCTCGAAGACCTTCGGCGTCATTGCGATGTCCCCTAGACACTCCCGCAGACGCGATGAATAGTGCTGGAGAACTGGCGGCGGCAGCGGCAGATACTGCCCTGTCAGTGTCTCAGCATAGTACTGCCCCCCTAATTGTCCTCGTGTCGTTCCTATTCGTCCCAGCATCTCACCATTCCACGCCACTTCTACGGGGTTTCTTCCTCCGCTCCTCTTCCTGCTTCTCCCCCGACTTCTTTTGTTGCAGTTGATTTTGTTGTTTCCTCTTCTTTTACTTCCTCTTTTTTTTTCCGCCTTTTCTTGTCCTTTTTTTCCCCCCTTTTTTTTCTCTTTTGTTTTGTTTTGTTGTTCTTGCTGCTTCTTCTTTCTCTTTGCTTTCCGCTTGGTTTCAGGTGGCACGGGCAGGGGCCTGCTTGTGTTTACCACTCTGTTCCCCGGCTACGACACACCACTCACGCACTTTGCACGTGTAATGGCACACGCACAGAGAGAAAGAGGGAGAAAAGTGATAATAACAACACCAGTAAGATGAGCGAGAGAATGAGAGAGCAGGAAAAAGAGACTAAGTGGTGTCGGCAACTTTTATATTCCTCTTCTTCTTATTCGCTGCCGCTTCTGCTATGGTTTCCTTTCCCCCCTCTCCCCACCTCGTTTTTTTTCTTTTTTTTTTGCGTAGATGTGCGACTTTTCTGGTGTGTGTTGTCGTTGTCTTCGCCTGCCAGTTTCCTCCCCGCTGCCCTCGTTCCCAGCCCGGCGTGCTCAACTCCAAGGGGGGGGGGGGGGTCTAACAACACGGAAGATAAATGGACCCAAAACCTTTTTTTCTGCTCAGCCCGGGCGGTGCAGGGGGAGGTTTGCAGCCAAAATGAAGCGGAAAAAAAAAACGGGGTGAAGGGAGAGAACGACAAAGCAGATGGGTACACGCTGGCACGCTTGCACAGGGTCGCACAACAACCGCAGCCGCAAAAATAATATAAAAAAAAAATTACAGCCGGTGATAACCACGTAAGTACACATGAGAATGCACCTGTTTGTTTGTTTGTTTGTGTGGGTGTGTATTTGATTGCGCCTCTGCAAAGCAGTGCATGCATCAACCTGTGTGATAGCGTTCCCACAGTCGCTTGGCGCATGCACACACACGCACGCAGAGGTACAAAAAAACGCACCCCCCCCTCCACTTTACCTGGCCATATTCACTTGGACGATCGTCGGTCACCGTTATCTTGTGCTGTACGCTGTTTGGTAGTCACGGTAGAGCTCACGCACGTAGGCCCGCGTGGAGCCAAACATGGGGTACACAACGTAGGCCACACCAAGGCACGCCAGTGCTGCCACTAAATACGTCAATTTCTCAGTGCGTTCAATGCGCTCCTGCAGGTTCCCAATGACACGCACGCCGCTGTCGTACGGTGGGAAGGGTTCGTCCGGCACACCCTTCTCGAGGAATTTGCAGAGCGGCTCCCAACCGTCCCCGTAGCGGTACACTAACAACCTGGACTTATCCACGTTTGACTGAACTTCAGCCTCGTAGCGCTCAAGTGCAGCGACAGGCCCTTCAGCCCCGCCGCAGGGTGTCATTTTGTGAATCATGTTGTCAAACGCCTTGGCGATGCCGCTCCGGCCCACGCGGCGGCGGCTGCGACGACGCGAGAGTTTGCTGCCCGCCTCGTCCAGGAGAAGCGGTCCCACGTGGGTTTCATACTCCTCCACCCACCGCCGCTTGTTCGGCTCCTCCACGAGGACGACTTTGGTGTACTCCGGGCACGCGCGCAGCAGACGGTCGTAAATCAACGTCGCCGGTGGGCCAACAACAGCGTCGTGGTGGCTGAACAGCCGCATGTCCACCGGCTGCTTGCCGTCAAGTATCATCGACCACTCCGCCGGGTGGCGTGCCGCGTGACCTTGCTGAAAGCAGGAGCGCAGAGTGTACGGCACGTAGCCGAGCTTCCGCAGCGCCCGCGTCATGGCCCCGCCGTCGGGCACCGCCGTCAGACACAACACACGCATGCGGCAAGGGCCCGTGACGCCACGGAACATCACCGGCCAGCAGGCGAGGAAGGGGAGGGGGGAAGGCTACTACAGCTGCGTAAAACACAATGCGGGAGTGTCGCGCATTGCCCCAACGTGGCAGACAGACGATGAGAGAAAGCAGCAGGCAGAGGCGGCCAGGCATTTAATAACCACACACACAGACACACTCGGAAATAAGCCAAAAAAAAAACAGGGACAAAAGCAGCATTGACAAAATGTCACATTGTGACTGCGAGGGGCCCATCAATTTCAGTTCCACACAGAGAGTCCAAGGCTGAACTATGCACCACATGGCAAAGGCGGCGGTCGCCTACCCCCTCTGGTAAAATGCGTAGCGCCCAGTGCGCTGCAGCTCACGCAAGTACTCTAACACCGCGGGGGAGCGGAGGCAGCTGTCGAGAAAAACCTCCGCCGAGACACCAAGCGTCCGCAACCGCGAGGTGGCGAGGTAACACACCGACGAAGGGCGCTTGTGCAGCAGATCCAGTGCCCCAACGATGTCAGTGGCGCCAAGCGACGCGATGATTCGCAACATCTTCTCGTTTCCCGCACCCTTCCAGAGCGCCACGTCCACGGTGCCCTCAAGTACCAGCTCCACCCATCGCACCTCTGCACCGCACGCAAGAACAATATCACCGGGCATAAACACACGTGTCACGGCACAGTTGCTAATTGCTGTGATGGCGGCGTCGCCTAAACGTGACGCCAGTGGGGTTGTGAAAAGTAACGAGCGCGACTTCTGCAAATGTCGCAGGTAGGCCGACATCAGCAAACAGCGAAAGGACTTACGGTCGAGTTGATAAACGCTGCAAGTGGAACTTGTGACAGTCGCCGTCGTTGCCGGTGTGGCACGTCTCTTATGCAGCAGCGGCGTCACATTAACCGCCTGGCCCTGCCGATACATCATAATAATTTCGCCACCCCGTGACAGCGTGACGACGCCGTCAGCAATCACGTACATGCACTGTCGCCTCTGCGCCTCACATGTCACGGTTGGGTCCTCCGCGTACAAAACACAACCGTATGGCAGTTCCTGCTTCGGTTCGAAGGCAGCGACAGCAAGGCCTCGCTGCATTGAGGTGGCCTCCCTGAAGGCTGTTGAATTCAAAAAAAAATGGTGCAGAAATGCATCATCGTCTGCCGTCTTGAGTACAACGGGACACATGTCGTCTGTGTAATCCTTCTCCGACTCTGAGTCCGAGGCGGCGTCGCGCTGCTCCTGCCGCAGCCGCTCCAGCGACCTCAGCCCCTCGCCTTGCCGCCCACCCTCTCCTACACACCAGCCGTGAGCTATGCGCAGCAGGGTACAGTGCGCGAGCATCCGGGACACGTCCTCGCACCGCAGACGATAGCCGGTGACGTGAGAATACGCGACGTAATCAAACGGGGACCGCGACACGGTAAACACCTCCATGGCACCAACGCATGACTTGCGGCCGAGAAACTGTAAATGCGCCGCGGTGGCACGATCCGTCGCACGCCTCGCTTCAATCGTCCCGGTGTCAATGAAAAAGATGGCGTCAGGGGTGCTGCCCTCGGACAAAAGGCAGCTACCGGGTGCATACACCGTGGGGAGAAGGGCATCCGTCAGATGCAGCTTCTCCACGCTGGAGAGCGCGCCAAACAACCCCACCCCGTCGATAAGACTGAGCAGCCGCTGCCGCTCACGGAGGGTGGCCGTCATGAGGATACGCTTCACTACAACTCGGCGCACTGTCCAGAGCACCACTTCATCCTTCTGATCTGCCGCAGCATAGCGTGCTGGCTCATGATCAACGCTATCATTGTACATGAAAAGCAAACGCTCTAGAGAAATGACGTCACCAGCCTGCCATGCAAGCGTCCCCCCAAGCACACCGTTTCCGCCGCCGTTCACGTTGACGTGAAAAAGCTGCGAAGGATGTGTGGGCGTCACAGCGCTGCTCACGACATGCCCACGTTCAACCCAGTAAAACTCGTGACTCAACTCACCATCTGCGGCAGTGATCAACGCACCAGGGGGGAACACACGTCGTTCAAATGCGTCCACAATGAACTGCACGTACCGCTCCGGCAGTCGGGCAAAAAATGGCAGACGGCGTATCATCTGCCGAAGCATCGCACGCTCTTCGCCCGATTTCTCTAGGATTCTTGGGCGAAAGACGTCGCTACGCCCTACAGACTCGCCCACAACCGAGGGTCGACGCGTCTTTTCTCGTGCCCGCCGGCAGAGCTCCTGCGTCTCCACCGCATCCATCTCGTCCTGCAACACCTGTAAAAGGTCCTGTATGACGGCGGCTGCGTCGTCCTCCACCGGAAACACGTATGGCGGCATCTGTGCCTGTTGCAAAAACTCCCCCATGCTGGCCGAGTCATCCATAGCTGCGCCCTCCTGCGCACTAGGGAGACTCGCTACGGAGATCGTGTTGTTCACGGGAGTCGCTGGTGCGTCCTGCGGCGGACTGGCTAGTTTCGCCAAGACATACTTAAAGCTCTGCATGTGCAGTCGGAAGATAGTTGCCCCGTCGTCGCCAGCCCTTACAATGTGCGATGGCAGTGTGGCATACATCATGTTGACAGGAAAGAAAGTCTCTCCGGGAAGGTGCGGAGCACCAACTTCGTTAGCCCCACCGTCACCAGCGCTACTGTTGGTCCCTGCCTGTCGCTCTGGCTCCTCAGTGCTATTGCCGGGGGCAGTGTTCTGCTGCAACTGCCTCGTCGCCAACATGCGATTGGCAGCCTCGTTTGGCGTGGTGTAGACGCTGCCGTGAGTGACAATCACAAAACTTGTGTTAATCTCCAGCGGCGGGGCAATGACGACGCCTGGTGCAACCTCCTCCCGCTCCGTCACCTGCACCAGCACCTCACGCGTCGCCGTGTCGAGAAGGCAAAGCAACGGGTGGCTCGCAAAAACATCGCGAATAATTGCCGCGTCGGCCGCCGTCTTCGCAACGGCGCTCGGCGCGCACTCAAGTATCATCGTTTCGTCAAACGGCGGAGCCGAGACCGCGTCGCGCCGCGCGGCACAAAAAGAAATGTACTCGGCGAGCCTCTGCAGCGAGGCCTGTTCATCTACCACATTTTCGGCGTCAGTGCAGGCGCAGTGATATTCGCCGCCTCCGGCCTCTGGAAAAGTGAGCGCAGTGCCGCCGCCCACTGTTGTCCCTACCTCTGGAAGGAGCGAGGCACGAGAGCCCGGCGCCGCCTCCGCCTTCTGCTGCTGCTGCTGCTGCTGCTGTTGTTTTGGTGTTTGAAGCAACGAGCCGCGTGGGAAAGACATGGAAATGCCCTTGCCAGCAAAACCTACAGACAAGAGTAAATAGAAAAATAGGCATGGTGAGAAAATAAAAATAAAAAGCAAAATGCATGCGGGGCATGCAACTGCAGCTGCGGCGATGACAACAGAGGCTGAAACTAAAAACAAAGCATAAGAGGGGAAAAAGACACGGGAAAAGAGAGACAACAGTATGCCGGTGATTGTGGCAGTGCCTGGCTGTGGGACACCACTGCCGGTGTGGAGCTGCAGGGGAGGGGAGGGAAATATGGTGGAGGGCGAGGCGACGCCACGCATCTGCGAAGGTGTTGTTTCGGCGCAGCCCCACAAGCAGGCGGGGCGTCCGACGATGGCCCTCGTGTCAGCGGCACGGAGAAAGAGAAAAAGAGAGGAAGGCGTGGAAGCGCGGAAACTATCGAAGAAGAGGGAATAAAAAAAAAAAAACAAGCCGGACATCTACAGAAGAAGAGACGGAGGAAGAGAAAGAAACATGGCAGCAACGGGGCAGACACACACCGTGGCGAAGTGGGAGAAGGCAGTCGACGTGGCAGGTACAAACGCACAAACAAAAACAAAAAATGGCGTGGGAATACAACTAAAGGAATTGAATTTTGTTGTTTTTTTAGTTTTGTTTTGTTCTTTCTTTTTTTTTTTTCCTTGCTTCTCTTTACCCTACTCTCCTCTCTTTATTTGCTCTCCCCACCGCTCGTCATGATCCGCGGAGGACGCCGCAATTCAACAGGCGACGCTTAACGCGTGTGGAATGAACGAGCACACCTCGACTGCTGCTGCCGGTGCTGCGTCGGCGGAGGATGCCCCCCGCAGCCAGAGCCAGAGCCACACCACACGAAGAGGGAAGATCCCCACACGCACACACGCAGCCCACCCCTCTGCTTAAGCGGGCACTGCCATTAGTGATGGAAGCCGCCTACACCTGGACGACCTGCTCAAGGTAGTCAAGCTGCACCCGCTCCAAGTGGTCCTCAAAGTCCACAATCTGAAACTGCTTTAACGCGTCCACGGCGTTTTCAAATACCTCCACCGCCTCCGTTCTGCTCGCGGTCGCCTCGCAGGAGAGCGTGTCCGAGTTCCACCGCCCGAAGGTCAGCTCCGGCGCGGTAAGGTAGGTGTTTTCACCCGTGTAGTAGGAAAGCCGCACCCCCGCCCCTTCTATGCGGTTCGCACTAACGATGGTCCAGAGAAGAGGGTTATGACCAGTGGATGTTTTGTCCTGCAGCATGCAAAGCACCTTTTCTGTGAGGGGTGAGATGCTGCTGTCGCCGGCGCGCTCGTTTGCGACGTAGTAGCCCAGGAGCACGAGTCCCCTTGTGCGGGCGTAGCTGGACACCTGGGCGTAGGCGACGCTGAGCATGGGGTGTGGGTGGGTCATCATGATGGTGTGAAACAGCGGCACAGCGTCCGCAACAAACACACTATTGCTGGTGCCGCTCTCCGTCAGGCGCTTCCCGACCAGGAACCCAGAGACCGCCTGGGTGGGGTACTTCTGGCAGTGCAGCAGCGCCTTGGCATACGCCTCAACGGAGGAGACCACAGACGGGGCAGACATAATGAACGCACGGCGGGTTACCTCCTCCTCTCGTTACTTTGTTGCCGCTCGCTTATTGTTATTATGTATGTATGTATGTATGCGTGTATGCTTAAGTGTATATGGCACCCACAACACGCAATAAACACCGTTTCCCTTTCTTCGTTCTAGTCGGCTGCAAACCTTATATTGGCGATGCGGCAAGGCATCGGCACACGGGAATCACAAGCCAGTTTCCCATTGTGGGCGTATACGTGCAAAGCGAGAAGTGACAGAGGAAGAATAAAATAAGAGCAGGAGAAGGGATAAAACGGGGGAAGGAAACGCAGAGAAACCGGGAGCCTAGGTGACAATGGAGGGATAGGAAAAATAATACACATGCGCATTTATTGAACCTTCTGCGTTGACTCCGCCCGCCAATGCAGCTCTGTACATTCATCTATCCCTTCGCCTCACTCACCGCTACCGCCATGAACCTCGTGTCAAGCAGCACAGAAGAAAGGAGAGAAATGAAAGGAAAAGGAAAGAATCTTACAAATGAGATGCAACAAAACACCATTGCCACACATCAGTGCCAAACGACACGCAATGCCACACCCTCAGGGGTAGATGCCATTCGTTCCAGGGTTCCTTCCACGCGACGCTTCCAGTAGCTTCGCATTGCCCGTCTCGAAAAGTTCAAAGGTCCCTGCTGTGTTGTAGTCCTGCAACGTGAGCGTGACGAAGTCAAGCTGACGCAGCCTAACCATGCGCCTCGGATGACGCATCAGTCGCGCCAAGGCCGACGTCCAGTAGTGCGGGTCGGTCTCCGCTAGAGGATTGCCGTGCAGCGTCACGGAGGAGAGCAGCGGGAGGGGGCAGACCCTGCCTTCTACCTGCGCCCAGTCCCTGATCTTGTTCTGGTGCAGGTAGAGATGCTGCAGCGGCAGGAGTGAGAAATCGGGGAGGACGCTGATGTCATTACCGCTCAGATCCAGAGATCGTATCGTCATGATAGCGTTCATCACAAGCCGCCGCAGCACCGGCACGAGTAGCTCCGTTGACACCATGCCGCAGGCGCTGATGCGTACGCTGGTTGCGACGTAGGTGGAATTCAACTTCGCAGCGAGGCTTTCAAGCTCGTTCCCCGTGCTTCCTTTATGGTCTCGCAGGAAGGCAAAGCGTGACTTGGATTCTTCCACAAACTCGTACACCTCCTCATCGCCCTGTTTGTTGCGTGCCCTGACAATCACCCGCTGCTCCTTCTGCGGACGGGTAGGGTCACTCTGCTGATTCAAAAAGACACCCTGGGCAAAGTGCGGCTCTACAGCCGGCTGCACCTCGCGCGAGACGTGAACTTTGCCAGCAACAGGCTGCACATGGAGCAGATGCAGTGGGTCGGGAATCTTGCAAAAGGTGAAGTCCAACAACGGCAGAGTCGCGTGGTTTTTCATGTCCACTCGGACCTTTCTAGCCGCGTAGAAGTTTTCACGTTCGGCTGCAAGATTCTCAATTCGCTTTTGCGCCTGTGGCTGGTGTTCGCATCCAGCTAACCCGACGAGGGCAAGCATTTCCTGCACTGTGAGCATGAAACGATGAATCGTCACAATCAGGCCGTCCTCAAAGTAGCACTCATCGCGAAAGAGCAGCATCTCGCGTCCATACGTGATAAGCAATCGACTAAGACGTTGATTGCGATCTGTGTATTGACGGCCAAGCTGTGCGTAGCGCTCCGCCTCGTTCTTTGGTGCCGGCGGAGGAGGTAATCGTTCCGAGTCCTGCAGGATCACCTTCCTCGCCTCCATCTCAAAATTTGTCTCGGCGATGTACTTTCCCTTGTTCATCCAGTACAGGATGCGGTACAGCCGCTCTGTGGCCAGCAGTGGGCCCTCTACAATGTCCACCTCATAACTCTCGGCACCTTTCTTCGGTTTTTGCTTCCGCTTCTCCGCCGTCGTGCTCTTCCCCCTTGTCCCCGTCGCTTTTAGAGCCACCGCTCCCGCCCCCATCGTGGCCCCCGCTGTTGCGCCTGCGGTGGCAGTAGTTGGCGTGGTGACCTCAAAAGCAACGCCGGCACTGGGCCCCACGCCGTCCTTCGTCTGCGCTGCCCTGCCGAATACACCTTCCATCCGTGTTGCTGCTGCGGCTGCTGTTGTCCTTGCCCGTGCAGCGGCCCTGCGTTGCCCGTGGGCGATGTACGGGATGGTGTCGGCGACCATCGGCGGGGCCGGCGGGTACTCGAAGTGCGACACTAGCAGCACGTTTGGGTGCAGAATGTCGTGATAGTCGGCCACGTCCTGCCGCGTGATGGCCGCCATGAGGCAATTTTTGCCCATCTCCAGCTGCTCAAACTCCATTGGAAGGCTTCGCACAGGCAGGGAGGCCCCCTACCACACAAAGAGAAAGAGAGAGAGAGAGAGAGAAGGCAGGCCCCCTACCTTTTCTTTATTTCTTTCTTGTTTTTTTTTCCTTTTTTCGTTTTCAGTCTGCAGCCGCGGCTGCACACTCCCCACCACCGTCGCGATGAACTCCTTCACGCGCCCACGCGTTTACCGCAGTCCACCATCGCAGGGGCGAAGAAGAGGAAAGCAAGGGAAAAGGAGGAAGAGAGTACGTGGCGGAAGCGTCCACGCCGCCGTTGAGCCCGGCAAGAAGTTGTGGTTGTGCGGTGACGGGCGCGGCGGGTTGGGCCCCCGTCCATACGCACACACACATACACACCGTGAGTGAGTGAGAGAAGAGGCGTATACACATACATACGTGCAAGGACAAGAGAGGAAACGTGGTCCAAAGCCCGTTCGCTTTACAGCTTGAATTCGTTTGCCATTCCGCGCTCGGGCTGATCCCAGGAAAACGTACATACGAAGCGCCTTGCAGCAGGGTTCGGTGGCGGCGGCGGCAGGAGCAGGTGTGTGGCGCATCCCAAACACCCGCCCAGTGAGAAAAGTGGTGAATGGAGATAAAAAAAAAAAAAGTTTGTAGGAACAAAAAATAATAATAATAAATGACTCCCTTTCTACTGACGTCCATGCATTGCTCTTACGGAAGCAGAATGCGATCTCAACTCCCCCACCCCATCTTGTTTCAATAGATTGATTCCAGTTTTGCTGCTGGCTTTGTTCCATAGCTCTTTCGTTATCTCTTAGTTTGATACCTCTGTGTGTATTTTGTGTGTAACTTCATGGAAGGAAGTAGGGATCTTCGTTTTTTTTGTTGTTGTTGTTGTTGTTTTCCTTTTTGTTGTTCCTACCCTTATCCTCGCAGTCCTAACGTTAGCACCCGCCCCTTCTTCGCATGACACCTTTTCCCTCGCTTCCACTCATCTCCATCATCCTCCTATTTTTGTTTGTTTGATCGTTTGAATGGCGCGGAACCTGCCTTCTGTCCACCGCTTAATACGCACCCAACACCCCACAAACGTCTCTGGATATATATTATATGTCGTCGTGTGCGTGCGATGTCATGTGCGTATCACTTAGTTTACATGAGTTTACATGGGTATACCTCACCAGGTAAAGTATGTGGATTTATGTACACAGCACGCAGTTGCGGCTTAAAAAGTTACTTATGCTACTGAGGGCAGCAGCTGCAGCACACCAATCCAATACGCGCGCACACACAAAGATAGAGAGGCGCAAACGCACTGTGACAACTTCGTGTGCCTACAACGCACCCAGTTCTCCACCCTCACTCGCCGCTTCCTCCACGCATCCCCCCCCCCCCNCCNCCNCNCACACACGACGACGACGACGACGACGACGACGACGACGACGACGACGACGACGACGACGACGACGAC